ATGAGGAAACAGAGGCAAACAGGGGTTAAGTGACTTGCCCAGGCTTACACAGCTAGTAAGTGTCTGAGACTAAATTGCTCTGTGTACTATGGTGCCACCTGGCTGCCTCGATTATGAGATGTCTCCTGGCACTGCTTTACAGAGGTGGAGGTCCACAACTTTTTTCAACATATTAGTTAGTTCTGCTGATATTTTCTCTTCTTTTTTTTAAAGTTCTTTTTTACAAGGGCAGTTTCTCTCACAGTGGTGGGGGAGGATGGAGAAATGCAGGGGAAATGTAGAGGATGTAAAAACAAAAGATTTTAGCAAAACTCTATTTTTTTTAAATGAAGGGATTGAACTAGATGTCCTCTAAGGTCCCTTCCAGTTCTTGGCCCATGATGCTATGAAGAGCTTACATCCAGTGTGAGGAGTGACAGGGTGAGTGATGAGCTCAGATTAATTGCAATGACCAACCCTGGTTCCCTCATTTTACACAGGAAGAAGTATGTTCAGGGAGGTTATGACCCACCCAAGATCACATGACTTTATTGTAAACATCAGAGGAGAGCTTTGAACCCCAGCTCCTGTCTCCATTGTACCACACTGCCTCAAGTGACCCAAAAAAAAGTAATAAAACACCCATAATCAAATAAAAAGAGATATCATTATTGAAACTGCTTAAACAAAAATCTGAAAGGTTATTTAGGTACCATTTGACCACATGCAAATAATTCAACCCAACTATAAGCATCTATTTGAATTTTTATTGTCCGCTTCCTTTGAAAGAATGAAATGTACATCAGGGACCCAATTCTTCAGAATCAGCTCTATCTACTATGCCTTAAATGGTGAGGTCAGTGACCCCAAATGAAAACCAGAGCACTTACTCTCTCAGCATTTAAATCCCTTCACAATCTAGTTACAGCCTCCTTCTCTAGACTACTGATTTCTCACTTCTACATTCCAGTCAAATGGACTTTTTTTTTTTTTGCCATGTGTTCTCTGATCTATCTCCATTCCTTTCATTGGCTGTTCCTGCTGCCAGAATGCAATACCTCTTCTCCTCCACTTTCTAGATTCCTTAGCTTCCCTTCTAGGCTCAGCTCAGGTGTTCATTCCTATAGGAAGCCTTTTTCTTCACTGGCTTGTATTTACCTATGAGTGTGGATGCTGAATCCCTTGCCCTCCAACTCCAAGTTCCTTGAAAGCAGGTGCTGTTTCTCATTTTCTTTGTCAGGAACAGATCCTGGCAGGTGGGATGCATTTAATAAGGGCTTGCTGAATTGAGGCGAGGATCACTCCTGCCTTCAAGGGCCCTCAAAGAAGGGGTTTCCACAGTCTCTCTCAGAAGCTTAGCTCAGTGTCAGACAACCATAATGGTTGTTTACGTTGATCAGTCCCATTTCCCAGAAGGGCACTGAGTCCAAGCCCTGCTAGGCAAAGAATCCCCTTTACAACATATTTTACATGTGTTTGAAGACCTTCAGGTAGGGGGAACGCACCACAAACAAACAAAAAAAAAAACAAAAGAGCTGCATCCTTTAGGAACCTAAAGCAGGAGGTTGTCTGCAGTAATGATGTCATGTCTCCTAGAATTCTGGGACCAGGTCCTCTGTGCATGTATGTTTGTATCTCTGTGTATCAGAGACAGAGAGACAGAGACAGAGAGAGAAAGACAGAGATAGACTGACAGACAGCTAAACAGGTAGGTAGACAGACAGACAGGTAGGTAGACGGAGAGGTAGGTAGATAGATGGTAAGTAGATGGGTAGACAGACAGGTAGGTAGATGATAGAGAGATTGATTATAGGTAGACAGAAAGACAGGTAGAAAGTTGATAGAGAGATAGATAGACAGGTAAGTAGGTAGACATAAACAGACAGATGAGAGAAAGAGATAAACAGGCAAATGAGGAGAGGGAGAGGGAGAGGGAGAGGGAGAGGGAGAGGGAGAGGGAG